GTTTTCCGCTTACACGGGTTACCGCGTGTATTGGTGTCCGACCGGGATCCGTGCTTCACAAGCCGGTTCTGGCAAGAAGCCACACGGACACTAGGAACGAAGCTCAAGATGTCATTGGCGTTCCACCCACAAACCGATGGGCAGACAGAACGAACAAACCGGACTCTTGAACAGATGCTTCGTTCATTCATTGGCCCAACTCAGGATGATTGGGACGAGTTGTTGCCTGTCGTTGAATTCGCAGTGAACAATTCAGTTCATGAAGGTACACGTGAGAAACCTTTCATTCTGAACTGTGGTCGGCATCCCACAACACCTGCTACGCATGGGATCGGTGGATTAAAAATTCCAGTCGCTAAAGACATTGTTGGCAAGCAGCAAGAAGCGCTTAAGTCTGCTCGCCATTGGCTGCAACTCTCTCAGCTGCGACAAAAGTCTTACGCCGACATGAAACACCAGGAAGTCTCATTTGAGGTCGGAGACAAAGTTTTGTTGAGCACGAAGAACATTCGTCTCAAAATCCCTGGAGCACGAAAGTTGTTTCCTCGATGGATTGGGCCATTCGAGGTGATCAATCGTGTTGGTGTGGTAGCCTACAAGCTTTAGCTACCTGATACACTACAGATTCACAACATCGTCCATGTGTCTCTGTTGAACAAGTACGTTGCAGAGGGCAAGTACTTGCCACCACCAACGATCGTCCTGGGGGAGGAACTGTTTTATGAAGTCGAACGAGTGCTGATGCATCGTGATCGACAACGTGGCTGCAAGACACTACGAGAGTTCCTCATCAAGTGGAAAGGCTACGGGCCTGAACACATGGGAGCTAGAAGAGCATTTGACTGAAACTGCAGTTCAGTCATACATGGCAGATTTGGCCCGATGAGCTGCCGCAGAACCAGCGGATGGTGTTGACCCTGGTCGTAATGTGATAGGGCGTGCTCCAAGTGCTCATCCTCAGAAGCACCCTAAGGCAACGGGGACGTTGCCACTTAGGGGGGAGGAGGGTAACGCCTACTCTACCTAACTACCACAGGGTTTCCTAAGTCAACATCGAGAGAGTGCTCGATGAGAAATGACGCGAAGGGAATCGGAAAGGTTGAGTTGGAAGGGAAGACTGGTTTGGTTTTCCCAACCCTCAACCTTGAGACTTGGAAATATTCCAACCCATCAAAGTGAGGATTGAATGGTTGGATTTCCAACCAATCACATTGTGCCATGTTGTTACAATCCAACCAAACAACAAAGCAACCATACAAATCTATTAAGTTGGGTTTTCCCAACCAAACAAAGATGCCACCTAGGCTCCAAGCCTATGAGCTCCCCAACCATGTAAGCCATGGTTAGGAAGAGCCCCCAAGGGGTATTGTGGAAGGGGTTAGAGCTAACAAGCTCATTCTTCACTTCCCAACTCCAACTTACCAATTTGGAAATGGGATTTCTCTAAGTCTTTTGGTTCTCCTAATAAACTCACCTACACAACTAGAGTGGTGCTTTCTTCAAAGATAAGCTCTACAAGAAGCTACCTACTTGCTAAGGCTTCACCAACAACTACAACTTCTCCTCTCTAGATCCTTCCAGCTTAGTCTAAAGCTTGTTTATCCCTTGGTGGGATTAGCTAGATATTTTAAAGCCTTGTAACTTTGATTATATATATAATTTCAAGGATGATTCTTTATTAACACACGGTTGCCCGTTGTTATAAGGGCCGTGGTTGTTACATCTTCTTTCCCTGATCTTACGTCGTTTGATGCTCCTCCTACCCTGTTCCTCTCATCCTTGTGCCTATGCCTCCCCACCGTCTCAGGTCCACATCTTTTAACCTTAGCGCAAAAAGTAGAATAGAGTAGTCATGCATGAAGGCTCCACGCCATGCCCTTATTCGGGCAAACAAACGCCATTCGGGGGTACAATCGGCCTACATTGCTAAGAAACAATGACTGTGTTGCATTGCTGAAAGTCGTGCCATCGCACATCCCTTCTTATTTTATGTCCTCGTATGAATTCCCGCGGTTAGATCCGTGCGGATCGGCAATTTAGTCCAACGATTTTCACAGATTCGCGATGTTGTTTGTCGATCCGCGTAGATCGACGCATTCCGACCGCGAATAAATTTCGACACTCTTCCCAACAAATTGCGCGGATTGGAGATATTTACCGCAGATCTGTGCACAGTGGATCCAACTGCCGATCCGTGCAAATTCAGTGATATTGGTGGCCAAAACTGTTGCGGGGGAAGGGAGGATCGGCCTGTTGAAATCCGTGACTAGCCATCAAGCGAGCTTGCGTAAAATCGACCTCTTCACTTAACTTGGATAATGAAGGTGCCTTTGCATATGGATTGAGTAGCATAAGTGCTGCTTTAGGTGGTCTTACTAGAAGTAATTGCATCGTCTGCTTCTTCCCTTCAACATGCCCGCTGCCTCCATTGTGTTCATGGGACGTGCATATTTTCATCCACCTCTCACCACAATCCTTCATCCCCTTCCATCACCGCTGCTCTGCGCTCTCGGCCTCACAATGCTTGCCTCTGGCGACTGTTTGCCAATTCATGCCTGCATTCGCATCTTTTCTTTCCACTACATGTTTGCATCACCTATCCTGTCCTCGCTGCCTCTTCTCCTTCTACCCATGTTTCCCACTTAATCTTTGCCGCGCCTTCACCTGGATGCCCTCCCTTCACAACCTGAGTGACTTAATGGTTGGCCTTGTTCTGTTCGAGTAATAAGCTGAAGCAATTATAACTCTTGCCCTGACTCCCTCGTCTCCCTGCCTCCCTTCCCCTGCACCACTTTCAGAATCGCCACCAATCGTCAGCCATCACGCACTGCAGCAATCGCCGTGCACTGCAGATCGACCGACTCTCCCTGCTGCTGCTGGTTCACTCTAAGAGCCGCCGCAAGAACGAGGCACTTCAAGAAAACACCTAAATTAAGGTAAGCATTTTGACTTTTCAGTGAATACATGAGCATCCCTAGTGTCTCCACAGCGAGGCTTTTAGTGTACGAACCATGGTGTTTGCACATGTATCAGCAGCGATCTGTAACTTTGTTACATACCGAGTGGCCTTGGGGTTTCAGCAGCATGCCAAGGCACACTGTTGCCCTTTGACGCATTGCTAGCCTGGACCCTTCTGCGTGTTGCCCTTTGACGCATTGCTAGCCTGGACCCTTCTCATTGGCTCATACACCATGCTGTCACATACCTAGGCACTCACCGATCTAGGGTTTGCCTGTCCAAGCCCGCGATTGTCCAAGCCTGCAACTGTCCAAGCCTGCGAATTCCCTAGCATGTAACTGAAGAAGCCGTGAGGAGCTAAAAGAAAAAAATATATTTTGATTAAAGCATGAGATTATTTATGCAGATGCCGCACGTGCACTGGTTTCCGACCAGCCTCAAATCAAACCAACCAGCAGCAAGCTTTCTCCCGACGAGATGTCTTTGAAGTAACGTCACGTGATTCGATCGACTTCAGGTATTGAAGCGAATGGCCATCCATGACTTGGCCATTCACTACAATCTCCGTTCTCCCTTGTGCCTAGACATGTCTTCCAGTGCATGCTTGCTCCAGCTTCCTTCACATGCCTGGCTGTGGTAAGGTGCGGCGCTTGCATGGCTGCGTTGCAGATCTGCCCTTCGCCTCGTTGTCATTGCACCATCCTATATTTTTGCAATCTTTGCCTACTTCCATTGATGTCAAGGTGCGTGCGTGCACATGTTTGTTCTAGAAAACACTTGGATGTAGATAGGACCTCTGTCTGTACGACATTTGTTGTCGTAGGACTTCCTTGCTGCTCTGCGCATTCAGCTCACTATATGTGTCTGGCGCGGTGCGAACCAACCACCTCTGGTTGGTCAACCTGGTCATCGTCTCCCTCGTCCATTTCTCTGGTTCGTCTCGTCGTTTCGTTTGTTGTTGCGCTTCTTTTTCACTCTTTCAGCAGATTTGCACCTCTCCGTTTTTCCTCTCCCGCTCTTTTCATGTCTATGCAGTCCATGTGACTTGCTGCCTTCTACCCTGTGGATTTCTTTTCTCCTTTTTGCAACCATTTTCAATAGACATGGTCACGAGTCGAGTCGAGTCGATTCAAGTCGATTCGGGGTCGAGTCGAACCTTTCTTGAGTCAAATCGACCTCAAGCCGAGTCGAGCTGATTAAATGGTCGGCCATGACTCAAGACTTGATATTAAGTTTTGAGTCAATGTGGTGGCTCGAGTCGAGTCTTGTGATTCGCAACTCAGTTCTGACTCGATCCTCTCTTGTATTGTTGGGGATACTGTGCGGGCTAACATAAGCGCACAATCTCCATAGGTGTCCTTTTCCCTAGATAATTTCATTCTCAAAGTCAAAAGTATTTTGTTATTTAAACTAAAGCACACTGACTAACAGCTAGCCTAAGATCAGAAAACGTGATGATAGAAATGTTACATACTCTCAACAGGGGTAAATTGGATAGGCTGGTTCATCAAGAGGTAACGAAAACTGGAGCTGCATAGTACAAGTAATGAAACCTCCTTTAGATCTGTACCCACAAAGAAAGAATTGCATATCTGGGGAGGAAATATCTTCCGCATTTGCGTGATGGGGTGATTTTCTTGCTCCACGCAAGTGAATCGAGCCAGCAAGAGTCAATACTCAACTCAATTTCCCATGTCTAATTTGAGGTGTCCCTTATGGCAGTCACTGTGCAATCCAAATATATGCTGAATCCATTTTCCCATGTCTTTTCGTCATCTCCCTGTTCGTCTGCTCCCTATCTGCTCTCTTAATCACATTACTGCCTCGTCCCTCATGCCCGTGTGACTTTCTTGTTTGTGTGTATACTATCTGACCACGCCCCTTCTTCCTCTTCGTTTTTACTTGTCTTTTATCTTCAGAGAAGCTCAACCTAGACGTGTCTGCTTTTGCCGGTTTGCAGCAAGAAAGAGAGTTTAATGCAAGGATTGTTATAGGAGGGTGTTTGAGGGAAGTTTGTCGATAAAATAGCTGCTGAGAGGGTGATGGGGCCACTGATTGACGTGGTGAAAGAGGAGGTGCTGGCAGCAGTGAGAGAGGAGCTGGGTGCACATAAGCAGGAGGTGAATGATTTGCGGCAGATGTTGCCTGTTGTGGAGGAGAAGAATGAGGCAACTACTGCTGTGGTGGAGGGGAGGGAGAGAGAGGTGACTGCAGTGAAGAAGGAGGTGAATGTAGTGAAAGGGGAGGTAATGGCAGTGAAGGGGGAGGTGATTGAAGTGAAGGGGGAGGTGAATGCAGTGAAGGGGGAGGTGATTGAAGTGAAGGGGGAGGTGAATGCAGTGAAGGGGGGGTGATTGCAGTGAAGGGGGAGGTGTCTGCAGTGAAGGGGGAGGTGATTGCAGTGAAGGGGGAGGTGTCAGCCGTGAAGGGGGAGGTGTCAGCCGTTAAGGGGGAATTGGCATCAGTGAAGAGGGTGGTGGCAGCAGCATTGACGAGTAAGGTGGCGGTGGCAGGGCAGAGTGAACAACTGGTGGAGGAGAGGTGCGTTGTGTAGAGTGAGGTGAATGAGTTGCTGCAGTCAATGTTGAAGTCCACGTTATCCTAGTTTACTCGTTACCAGTCTTATCAACGTTCTCTCTCTTGCACCCCATGCCCATGTACTCCATCTATCTCCATCCCTTGCTTCGCCTCCCGTCCTGTGCACTCAGTGCGTGTTCCTTCCCCTGATTGCCAGCTCAATCTTTTGTGTGTGATCCTTTTCGCCACCTCATGTCTATCCCCTACCCCCCTGCTCCATTTGACACCTCCTGTGAACTCAGTAAGGGGCTCTCTTGTCTTGCTCTTCCTGCTTCTGTCCCCGTCCCCTGTTCCTGTTGCCTCCTCCCTCCCTCTGCTCCTGTTCCACCTCACTGTACAAGGGCAAACCTGGCTTTGGGCTCGCCCCATCAGCCATGGCTCGGATGACTGCAGTGGCCATGCTGCTGCCAGGGCTGCTGGTCGCCCTCCTCGCAGCTGCCATCGTGTATGCACCCGCTTATTATTTACCTTACATGTCCTCTCTGGTGCATCATCTAATGTACGCCAGCTCCTCCCTCTCTCCACGTATTTTTGTATGGAACAACAGAAGCAACCTTGCATACCACTCCTCTTTCCGACCATACCTTACACCCTCCACTGCAACATCCGAGTACCATGGCCTCTCAAAATAGTCAGGATTCGCTCGAACAAAGTGAGAAACTCTTGAGAAGCTGGCGTCGTCTGCCGCAGGGATTGCCAGCGATGCATGGGCCTGCATAACAATTGGTGGTAGTCATCGCTGATACTGGCCAGTCAAATGATGGTTGATTGCACAAACATTCAAGTACTTACTCGAATCTGTTATAGTCACAATAGGCTTGAATGTGCCTAAAACGAAAGATAGAGTGCACAGTCGGATTTCTGCACAGCGGCTTCAAACGTTGATAGCGTTCTGGTCACAGCTGCAAATGACTTGATTCAAATTGGATCTCGAGCGTCTTGACGTCGCCTACACTTGACAATTTAGATTGCACGATTTCATTAAGGATTGACGACGCAACGTTGGTTTGAACGAACGGCACTATGGCAGCCACTAAAGACTTGGAACACAAGATAGGAAGAGTTACGAGTTGGGAATGACTCCCAGCTCCTACAAACCCCAAGAGCCGAGGTACAGAGAGGTGGAACAGTGCCACACTTTCCCCAACCACGAAGGGTCTCGAAACTACCCTCCACAAGGGCCTACACCAAGAGAAATGTTACACTACACAAAGTAATGCAACTATTCTCACTATCTTAAAGTTTACCCTTTTTGGAGAGCTTCGAAATCACTTGATTCTTGAAACCAAGGCTCTGGTTCTTCAAGATAAATTCTTCCTTGAGTTCTTGGAAGTCTGCTGCACACACCTGCGACACGCCGAATGTTCCACACACGACAAAATAGAAAAAACGCACACGACACGCAAACGACGACGTGACACGCGACTAGCGATAACTCGCTATTGACTCGACACACACATTCAAAGTCATGCCTCATCATTCACACACTATTGTAAGCATGAAATATATTATTATTTCATGCCCTCATACCATTCCATGCACACACGCATGCACGCACACGGACAACAAGCCGAATGCAAACCGTAGGGTTGCACCAACAGAATCTTGGTGACGCATCCGGCATAACGTATTAACGCATCCTTGAGGGCAGCTTGGGCACCAGGGTGTTGCTTGGCCCACTTCCTTGCAAAGCAGTTGGTGGAAGTGGGTTCTTCTGGTAACTCCACAGGGATGAAGTATGACTCCTTAATAAGAGTCCGTGTGTCGGTCTCAATTGCCTGCCAACATATGATAAGGATTTTTATTACATTCTGCATTCATATCCATGCAATTCAAGTACCAAACATGTTTACCTGCTGCATGGCTGTGTCCCGGCCAGCAGGATCGTCCACGGGCACCACATCCGGAATGCGCCTAGCATGGAACTTCATGATCTGCCCATCTACATTGCGCTTGTTGGACCGACGGTAGATCCTCTTTACCAACGGTCCGTGCAAGTGCTCAAACATGTTGGTGCTGAATTCGGTCACATGACCCGCTCGACGAATGGAGTCGACGTAATGCGACATGAGATGGGTTTTCACAAGGCACCAAGAGGATGGCTGCTTTGGAAAGGCAGCCTGCAACTGCTCAACCAGCCTGATGGGAGTGGGGAATGACAACACGTGCAAACACATCAGAGTCTACTTATTCATATAGCTTTCCTATTCCAGATCCTTTCCTATTAAAGTTTAGCAGCAACATCCTCACCAGATTGCCTATTACAAGAGCACATTTACAGTAGCCAAGCATTCATCCCATGCACAGGGGTTTACATGCATGGTATTAGTACCGGGACGTCATCTTCTTCAGCTCCCGGAGGGACCGCTCAGTGTGCCCCTGTGGCTGGGAGCACAGGAGGTACCATCCAAGATAGGCACGAACTGCATCCATCTGGGGTTGGCAAAGCAGGCCGGCAAAAACAAACACCATGACCTGCAGAATTCGGGGATAGCAGCAAAGGGGAGGGTTAGCACAGATGGTGTGAGGAGTAGGGACAAGGAGTGGCAGCATGAGCAGACTGGTTGAGGAGCGGTGGGGACAAGCAACAGGGAATGGAGAAGGGGGCAGGCAGTAGCATGCTGTGCGGTTAGGGTGCAGCCTATCGCACACGATGATAACAATCGAGGCTTTCATACCTGCATGACGGCCCTGTGCTCATAGGCCGCGATACATGCTCCGGTCTCGAAGTAGGCGCTCTCTGGCATGCGCATGTGATTCAGTCGCGTGCGGTCGCAAATGAGTGACAAGCGCCTGTCCATACACATCAGTTTAACAGCGGCACAAATCCAGAAACATGTCAGTAAGAGCACAGTAGTTTTGCTTTGAGTTTTTGTGACCAAGAGCAACGAATCCAATCCCCCAAAACACTGACCTGTCCATCTGCTTCACGCGTCGCTTCTTCATCTTGCGCACGACAGCCACAATGTGGCTCATGATGCCCAGGTCCGCCTGGTGCATGATGTCAGGCATGACAACGAGGTAGGGATTGCCCCACGCGGTCCCTGGGACATCCCACTTCCAGAGCACACACTGGAAACCGGGGATGTGGTGGGGAATGGAGGAGATCTGTACTTGTGAGACCCGGGCAGCCAACGTAAACAAAATGCCTGGTGATTTGAATGGGGCACAGCACATCTGACCATTCCTCGGGGTTTAGGAGTGCATAGACTGCATAGTAGCCCGGGCAACAGGTCACTTACCTCAACAGGGTAGGTCGAGTAGGTCTTGCAGGGGTTGTCCTGGTTAGTTGTCATCCCAGCCGCCTCGTTAACGATCCATTGCTGCTGTTCAGGCGTGCGCGGCGTGTTCCGTGCCTTGACAGCAACTTGATGCTCCTGTTGTCGCACGGGGGTGTGGGATAGGATACAAAGGTAAGGGTGGTGAGTTCATGGGTTGTATAAGGCGACATTCAAACGACAATGTCTTTGGCATGAAAGCTCACCTTTGCAGCATAGCAAATGCTGCACGGCATACGTGATCCATGCGAGAGTGTGCAACTGATCTTGCCGCTCTCGGGGTAGTCGCACACCCAGGCGTACAGCAGGGGCCGCACGGTTTGCCAATCACCGAAAGGGTCCCTAAGACGGAACCCGCTGCAAGGAACAGGTAGAGTGGCATAAGGAATTGGGAGGACATGATTTGTGCATGTACGAAGAGGGGCAAAGGGGACTGCTACATATCGTGACGCCCTGAATACTATGCAGGTGATTGGGTGACGACATAGCAAGATGCAACACCGGGTACGGACCTTTCCATGCCATCGAGAAGCGGCTGCAGCACAGTGGTGACGCATCGCTGGAAGAGCATCACCTTCTCCACGGCAGACATTGCAGAAGGGGGGATAGGAAGGAGGGCAAGTAGCGTGTGGCCGGCTTTCCCCCATCGTTTGGCATGGGAGATGTTGGCAAGCGTCATCATGAGCAGCCACGCCTTCTTCCGGCCGTTGTTGCTCATGTGCGTCACATCCGAATATAGGATGATTCCCCCCACAACTTGGGTCCATCCTAAGTGTTCCTACAATGCACGACAAGGCGGCAACGGACACACGGTCAAACACCACCAAGGTAATTGGTCGCCAGGTGGGTTAAACGACCTTCATAGCATGTTCATCGAACATGACACACTCATCATGCATCAGACACATCAGTGAAGCAACGGAGGCATGAGCACGGATCCGGTTTTGGGTGGCAACGGGGTATATCCATACCTGAGCATCATTCCACCACGTTCCTATTTCCGGCGTGGTATAGCGAAGGTCGCCTGTGTCAGGGTCCTCATCGACCCGCGCCTTGAGCTTGAAGCCGGGCGTGTTGTTGGTATGCCCAAATAGTTCAGCGAATGCCTGGTTTGGAGAAGAGGGGCATGGTTAGATGCGTTGATTGGTGGGTCCGATCTCATACAAGAAGAACGAATATAACTTCATACAAGCACCACAAGGTTGCCACATCAGCATTTCACTGCCAAGGATTCAGAGTCGGCTTACTTGAGCTGAGTTTTGGAATAGCAGGCGCTGAGGCGGATGAGCGTCAATCTCGAATGTCGCCACCGAACATCCGCGATTGAGCCCTGCCAAGTGCTCCATCTCGAACCGCTCCAGATCCTTGCAGTTCCGGAGCTCCGAGGTCACAAGAGGCGCAAGGCCGGGCTCTACCACGAGCTGAAGCAAGCCAGTGATGTCAACCTCTGCCATTCCCATTCCGCCATTCACACGCCGAACGAAAAGAAGCAGCTTCAACGCGAGTAGATTGAGGGGCATGGCATCGCTCTGTCCGGAGATGGTTGTAGGCGGCGAGGCTTGACTCCCTTCAGGCTGGCTCTCAGGATGCTCACTCGTGTCAGCTGCAGGTGTTCCTGGTGGCAGTTGATGTTCATCTTCCGGAGCCCCCTCGTTAACGTCCAAGGGTGTTTCGTCTTCGTCAGCTTCAGGCACGCGAG